CCGGACCCCATATCCACACACAAGGAGACACAAACGCTCTCGCCGTGACCAGTCCAGGGAGCCTCTCCAGGCCTCCTGACACTTCTCCCTGATAGTTCCTCATCTGTCAGTCTGCAGTGACCGACAGACCGGGCAGGAGAGCAAGGAACGAGAGCCACTCCTCCTCCTCCTCCTCAACAGCCCCCAACAAGAAAAAAGACATCTGGCCCACCTCCCCCATGCGCGACAAGCACATACATAAAACAAAGGTCCCGCTCGCATGCCAGTGGTGATAATAAAAAAGACGAGGTATCTGCCGGGAAAAGTAACCGCCTGCAAGATTCAGGGGGTCCAAGAAACCATGGGCTCTGCCGACAAGAAAACCATCAATCCAGCGAGAAGGGTCGGCGCGTAGGCCGATGGACCAGACATGAGCGAGACGATATCAAACTCCAGATTCCGAGAAAACCGATGCATGCCGACAGCCTTCGCCTTCTTGGCTGCCACGAACCTGTATCCGAACTGCCGGGGCCAAGTTGAGGTTGAACTGGAACGACAAAGGATTACAACGCAGGGTCAAGCCACGGCACGTGTGCGTGGACTGCGCTCAGAGGGCTTCCATGGCGCCCTTTACAGAACAAGGCACTTCTTGTGCTTGCTGCCACGGGTGCTTCGCGACAGCAGAGCAGCGCGAGTAGCGTGCTCGAACACCTCACGGACACCCTCGTTGGTCTTGGCTGAGCACTCAAGGTACTTGTAGGCAGCGATCTTCTTGCGAACCTCCTCACCCTATCGATGACTGTTAGCATGTTTCGAGATGACGTGCAGCAAGCTGGCTAATCAAGTTTCGAGAGCTTGATTTGGCGCTTGTTGGGGCAATGTATCGTACCTCCTCGGGGGAGACAGGCTTCTGGCTAGTCTTTCGGAGCTCCTCGATGGTCTTCTGGTCGTATCGCAAATCCTTCTTGCAGCCGACGAGGATGATGGGGAGACCTTGGCAGAAGTGCAGAACCTCAGAGATCCACTGTAAGAGCACGTGTCAGCAAAGCTGTATCAATAGCAACTGGCATGCAGCCATCTGGCATTTGAGGGTGAACAAACCTTCTCCTGGACGTTGTCAAGAGAGTCGGGAGAGTCGACAGCGAAGCAGATCAGGATAACGTGGGAGTCGGGGTAGGACAGGGGTCGAAGACGGTCGTAATCCTCCTGGCCAGCAGTATCCCATAGGGCGAGCTCGACGTGCTTGCCATCAACCTCGACATCGGCGACGTAGTTCTCGAAAACGGTGGGGACGTAGACCTGAAGACGGAATTGTCAGCAAGGGGGTCATTGCTGGCGATGGCCGTTGCATGATAAGGATGTTTATCAAGCCGCGTGGCTAAGCGTGCGAAGGTTGAAAGGCGACGCCGCCGTAAAGTCAATTCTTACCTCGGGGAAAGTGCCCTTGGAGAAAACACTGCAGAATTGGTTAGTATCAGGTTGATTAGGTGTTTTAGGATAGTGATGGCGATGATGATAATGAAAATGGCGACTGAGGACGGTGAGGTGAAGCAAGGGGCATGTGCGTCTATCACGGTGATAATAGAGCTGATGGCGTCAAACGATGCGAAGCGCTGAGCCCACCAAGAGGCCAAAAACTTTCATATCGCCCTCCTGTTGAGACTCCGTCTGATAGAGACATTGTGATGCCAACGCGGTGATGGATAGGAACGGTGATGGGCGACGGGAGGTCGACTTTGAAGTCGTGTCGTGTCGTGATAGAAGGCCAACTCACATCAACAAACAGGTTTTACCACAAGCACCATCGCCGACAATGACGAGCTTTCGGCGGATCTCAGCCATGGTTATTGATTAGATGTGGTTTTTGGTTAAAAAGTTGAAAGAAATGGACGAAGTTGCTGGCGTAAAATGCGAGCTTGAGCTTGAGCTTGGGAGATGGTGCAGGTTGTGAGTTTCGCGGAGAGCGGCGGCTGCGGGTCGATGGGGATGGGAAATGGATGGATAGAGAAAGAGGAGAGTTTGAGTTGGGTTAGGTTGGGACTGGCAGTAGAGAGAGAGCGAGCACCTCAGTCAGAAAAGAGACGCGAGGAAGAAGAAGGGGCTTTGGTTTTTTGGGTGAAATAGGCTTGGGCCTGGTTTTTTTCTCGCTAGGACTGGGGCCCCGACTGCACTGCAGGCACTGGAGCGACAGCCCGGGGCGGGCGCCAGGACAGGATAGGACCCAACAGCGGGTGGGCAAGCACAGGACAGCAGGCAGCCAGGGCAGTTCAAAGGACGGGAGGTACCTCTGAACAGCGGGTGAAGAGTGCTAGAATCAAAGTACCAAGTGCCAGTGTCAGAGGTCTTTGGTGCCGGTGATGCTGGGGGTTGGGCAAGGTTGTTGAGGACAAGCAAGGCGTTTGCAAGTCGCACTGTGTTTTGATAGCGTATCCAGCAGCGGGCAATGACAGCTGAAAGTAGGTTTCGGCTTTGAATCAGAACCAAGTTTAGAGGTTGATTCACTTGGCTAATGCTCTATGCCTTTAGTTTGTCATATATCCTTTGTAGTTATTTGAACTATCATATTGAAAGTGTCAACAGATATCCACGTAGATAAGCCTCCTGAACATCACATCTTCAATCAGGGATTGACAAGGCTGCAAGCTTTGTTGTTTCCCTCTGTTGCTGGGGCTGCGAGCTGCTGGGGCCCGGACTGGGCTCTTTGATGATGAATGTTTCCCCTGCTGGGCTGGGCTCAAAAAAGAAACGCTCACTTGACCCAGGTACACTTTCACCGATATTCCCACACAAACGGTACTTCTGCCCCGTCACATTACGCGGAAATGGCCCATCCTGAGGCAACCAACGGCGTGGCCCTGGCTTCGGCTGGTGGGTGGCAACAACCGCTAACACCGTCTCCTTTTCAGTGAGTGATTAGTGGAGTCTCGCCACAGTGCGAAGAGTTCTGGGCAGTGCGCGTCACAAGCCTCCCTCTGCTAAGGTATTTCCCAGGAGGGGAATTAACTGACCCATTTTATCCATCTTACCGAGAGTGCTCCGCCAAACTTTCAGTGGTAGATGCAAGACGGGATAGATTGGATAGATGAGCGGGACGCCCGTTGTTATTTGGTAGGTTGCTTTGCTTTGCTTGCATGCGGTGGTTGCGTTGTGTTGCGTCGTTGACCATTTACGTGAGTCTGAAACAGAGAATGCCAGTGATAATGATGACGAGATGAGATAAGAGCCTACCTGCTTGATGGACTGGTCGATAACATTGGAAAACAGACAATATCAAGGGCCAGGGTAACGGCGTTGGCCGTTTGTTCAAGCCGGTTTAGTTTGATTGAGGGACTGACGGTCATGAGAATGAACTGCAAAGATGGCTTCGTTGGCTTGCATGCTGTCATTCTTCACAAGTGACAAAGGTACCTTTTCTGACTCTTCGCCGTTCCAATGCTCACAGCCATGCTCTGCACAATTCCTATCGGCGGTCTGACGTGCTCACCAGTCCTTGGTCCACCAAACACAGTCCTGCTGCGGTGGTGCTGTTAGCTTTAAGTTGCTTGGTGCTTCACTATCATCTCATGCAGACACGATGGAACACTTTAGGCTCCATAGCGCCGAGGCTGAAACCGTGGCTCGGGTTGTATCATTTGAAGAGGATGAGGCTAATCAACCAGCCACCAGCCTCAGAGGCCCGTGATTGAATTGGTCTTTATTGGAAAGCATTAAAAAGCGTTCTTGTGGAATGCCTAGATCTGGCTTTTTGTGATTTCTAGCTGGGATCTGGCGGCTATCGCCAACGGTTGTCTGAACTGTTGCGGATGGCATGAGGATAGCACTCATTTTAAATGTTTGATAGACGTTTGAAGTTGATGACCTTGATTTCCGGCTGATTACTGTCGGGAAGTGGACAATGCTCTTTCTCCTGCTTTGGCTCCTCTATACCTCCATCGCTAACAAATTTTCATGTGTATCCGCGTCATCAATCACCGCCTATCTTCACAAGACAATCTATGCAAAGTGAAGTGAAGCTGGCACAAGCTTCTAACCCCTGGTCCGTCATGCAATGCGCCCTGTGCCATCCCGCCTCCGCGTGCCAAAGCCAAAGCCTAGAGCCAGTAAGAGCTTACAGTGGACAGAAAAGTCCTACGGTGGCCCCAAAGCGTAGGACTTTCATCCAACCTCCTCCCTTGATCATCTTGCCTCAAGGACCCTGATTGACGGGCTATGTATCACGGACGATTAGAATCAGTCATGATATCTGGACATCCGTATATCCAGTGTCTCTTTGATTGTGTCTGTCACATTCGTGATTCTGACCGCCATATACGTGCTGATCTCGACGGTCATCCTCAGAGGCCTCTCAGCGGCAATGCAACCCCAGCCTTGATAATTGATCAAAATGTGAACTTATGATATATTGGTATTTTGTTACTATCCGGGGTGATATTGGATGAACAAGTGATTTGGTCATACCTGCATGATTCTCGTCCCAGAATGGTTTCAATATAGGTTATATGTGTTGTCAAATGACGAAAGGAAAATAAGCATTGCGATGGAAGATAGAGTCGTGAGTCTCAAGAGTTGGACCAATATTACTTATGTAAAAGATCACGGAGATTTCTCTGTCGAGTCAAGCATCATTATCTGAAGTTGAGTGGAAGTAGGGTGCTTTGATTGAACATAAGGGATATGTCTTTGTGTTTAAAATCACATAAATGATTAAAGACTTTTGTCTCCTGCAAGCTATAGAAGTGAGATTCGTGTAAGAAAGAATTGCTCCCGGATATCACAGTTCTTACAATAACTCAACATGAAGTTATCATGAGCATAGTGCGGGGTACAGTGCATACTTAAAATCCGCACCTAGACTACTGCGGCTAATTCCGTTGGACGTTGAGAATTTCCAGCTCCCACGCACTCCACAACGAATTATCATAACGCCCAGCGACAATTCGGCGCCAACAGCTTCAATCCGCTCAATGAGCTGCTAGAGCCTGCGAATCCCCTCGATAAATCCTCGCAGCTCATTCTCCGCCATGCAGAAGCTCGCCAAGCGGGTCGCCCAGGCCCAGCGCCAGGCTGGCCGACGAGCCCAAAAAGCCGCCAAATCCGAAGAGAGCAACTACAAACTCCGAAACAGACAAGCCATGCGCGCCGCTGTCTCTGAGGTCCGACAGAATCTCCAGGATGCGCGCCGAGTGAGACAGGAGGATTGGGAGCTGGGCCCTATTGCTCCCAAGCGGGATCTGGGCTTCAATGGTTATGGCATGTTTACGGAAGGTGTACGAACGGATTGGTCCAACTATGGTCTTTACCGACCAAGGCCTGAGGTTTTGGCGAAGAGATGTGCTTGGGCTGGTGGTTTGAAGCAGCTTAACCTTGCTGTTTCAGACCGTGTGGTTATCATGGATGGACCGGACAAGGGCAAGATTGATCGCATCAAGACGATCAATCCTCAGGGAGGATATGTTACTCTCGAGAACTATCATCGGGTAAGCACAATGCCTTTCTAAGGCTTGCATAAGGACTAATGGATCTCAGGCTATCTCTGCTGGCATGTTTGGAAACGACAGCCGCTCTCAGCCCATGCCCCTCTCGATCGGTTCTATTCGTCTTGTCTATCCTATCGCCAATCCCGAAACCGGAGTTACAAGAGACGTCATTATCAATGAACTTAAGGCTATTCCCCCGAACATGAGTTCCCCCAACATGAGCTTCGACCGATGGGAATACGGAAACAAGTGGGATCGAATTGTTCCTGGAATCAACGTTGTTATTCCCTGGCCCGAGGTTGAGGCCCCAGAATTCGAGACTTTTGACGGTGATACCGTCCGTGAGACTGTCGACAACCGAACATTTTACTACAACCTACTCTCCCCTCCCATGCCCGAGACCGTTATCGACGAGTTGCGAAACAAGTTCTCTAAGTTCCGAACACGCCACGAGGAGTGGTACGTGCAGCAGAAGGAGGCCGAAGCAGCAGCAAAGGAAGCCCACAAGGAGTCTATCAAGTCCATGCAGACTCCTCTGCAGGAGTTCCACGAAATGCAGCGCGCGAAGCGTGCTGCCGAGGGAGAGCCCGAGCTCAGCACAGAGATGTTGGAAAAGCTTGGTGCTATTATTGCTCAAAGGAAAGAGGCTGCTCTCAAGAAGGCTGGCGTGTCAGAGGTGGCGGCTGCAGATGCTTCGATACCGCCTTCAACAACAACACCTCCGGCTCAATGAATGAAATGAGGAACAGAGAGGTTGAGTATTGGATAGTGGATGGCGTGCCAGGGGTGGTACCAATAACGTGTAATTATATCTGTGCAACAATGTACATCATGAAACGTAAAATAGACGCATGGTCTTGTCTCTTCACTAGAACTGAGATCTGGTCTACATGTGCAGATGTCAAGCGGTGAGCTGGTTCTCATGACCCCAAGAAGGAAGGCAGATCCTCTCTAAGACTTGATATCTGTGCCGAAAGGTTGTAGGCTGAGACTAAAAGCTGACAGACTTCGGGCCTGATTTCGAGTCCTGCAATGGGACGCAATGTTGCGGGCCAAGCATAACAACACACCGATGTTGATTCATCCGGTATGATCGGTAGACAGTATACTATACCGCCTTGGTATACAGCTCAGGGGCTCAGTTTCAGCGACGATGTCTTGGGCCATTCTTATGCCTTCAAGTTTCGTAAGACTTCCCTTGGCACGCATTATGTAGTAGTTCGAACAAGGTCGTTGATTCATAAATCTGCCTAATTCGTGTATCTACTGAACAAAACTCAAGCTAATCTTACAAAACAGCATACAGTATGTTGTTCAACTATCAATATCCTTGGCCGAGTCTTTACCGAGTCTTCTAGACTATAGCTTAGAACCCTTCGGTCCTGAGTAACCGGCCCCATTTCCAGTTGCCTTGCTGTCCTCAGCTATGGACCTCATCATTAGGCGATCTTGAAGGGAAGATGTGTCGTAAATGTAGGGTTCTAACATCGTCGTCTCGACGGTGTTTCTGAGGAGTTAAGCCATTAGCTCAAATTATGATACGGTGAAGTGAGTGTTTCTCACGATGGAGTGTCACCCGTAGGGATAGTGTCAGTTTGGGTCGAGTCGCAAGGCATGGCGGAGAGAAAGAGGACTTCGGAGATGAAGAGCTGTAAAACACCCGTGTTGGGATGTGCGAAGGAGCGTGATGAAAAGAATTCAAAGATAAAAATAGGGGAGCCGTTCAGCGGTACTTCTTCAACATTGGAAGATCTGAGAACTCAAAGCTATGTTCCAAAAGAGTCATGCCTCAAAGCATGAGATTTACCAGAACTATACGGACATTATGACCTTTTATAAATGCTTCAGGGGATACCTGAGGATCAGCATGCTCGAGTTACGCCTCGACGAGACAAGATACATACAACAGCCTCAGCACCATCAATCATTCCGGGCACCGAAACGCCCGCATTTCCAAACACAGCATTTCTACACCGGTGATCTTAATATGAACGAGACACAGGAAAGTGCAGACGGCGCAAGAAGACAGAATAGGACTAGAAAACTCGGTCTGTTGCCACAACCGAAGAAGCGGTCTCAAAGTTGATACCAATTTGACATCTGCATAAACATGTAGTGGTGTGTAGACTACCTAACCAGGCACCTGGATCCAACATGTCTTAGGCATCTGTAGAGTAGGTATTCTTTCCACGTTGTGTATTCTTGACCTGTGGGGAGAAGTGGTTGGGACAGGAACAGAACCAACACAGGCCAATAATTACGAACCCACCCTCCCAATATGCACTTTCGTTTTCAGCCTACTGCATACAAAAGAGAAGCGGTGAGCTTACAAAAATCAGATGAATAGATGATTCCTTGTCAATGATGCATCATATCTTCGAAACGAAGTTACATTCATGTAGGCAAGTGCCGTATCTGGTTTTTCTGCATCGATCCCACGATGCACACACGATTCTGCATGGTTTGCATCGCTTAGTTGATTGACAGCTGGGACTTACCTAACAAATCTTCCCGCAAGGGAGAAGAGAGAACTTGGCCATTCATGTCATGAGGCTCTTCGGGGAACTTTTCAGCCTTGTGAGCAGAGTCGGCCTTATTTGAGGCCACCCATCCATTTACCCCGATACAGAGCGGTGAGCGCTATTCCATAGCCATTGACGCAAAAATGATAACAAAAGATATTATCTGGACGTAAAGATGCGGCCGTGAAGAGCCGGGCGTAGTTTGAGTTGATCTACCACAGGCTTGTCCTTCTCCAAAGATATCCTTCGCCTACGGATGCGATCCGGCTCTTAGCATATCCACTTGCGATGCTGACACTTACGCCAGACGCGGCTCAATCCAAATCGGTTTAAGATTAACATATATAGGGATAATTACTGACTCGCTTTGACCAACGACATTGCGAGAATCATCCCCCCTTTATGTTTTGAATCTCGGCAGATCTTACATGTCGCTCATAGCCACGTGTGAAAGGAAGGGCCGTGCCATAGCTTGGATTCAGCTGGAGAACAACCCTGCTGCGTACGCTATATCAGTCTTAGGCAAATTTGTTAGTAGGGAACACGAATTCGAGAACAGATCGACGCGTATGCCAATTTTGATACGTTTCAGACTCATCAAGGCTGAATTCTACTTGTCGTAAGAAACCGTTCTCCAGAATGTTATCCAAGGGAGGCATACGACCTGCCACATTGGGGAGCTTGTTCGTAACTTGAAAGATTTCAGAAACACCGAACAACAAGAGAAGGATTTATTAATATCACTTGGTATACTATCACTCAGTGGTAACTAGGTAGTATTTATGCAGTTGAGCAGCGGTAAAGGGCAAAGAAAAGGCCAATGACCTGTTGTGTTGGACATGTTGATGATACAAGATTCAGAGCACTCATAGCTCCTGCGGCATAGAGAAGTTTATGCACTGTATCCGGGATCGGTTTATCTTATTATGTCATTGATAGGGCAAAATAGGCACTTTCTCAAAGCTTGTGCTTATCCTCCGGGGTGTCACTCGCCTTCATCTTTTCTGAACAGACCGTCGCAGGCACAACGCTAGTGTTCTTTGTCATGGGAAACTGCAGCAATCGATCTTGAAGAGAAGACATGTCGTGAATGAATCTGTTGAGCATGCAAGCATCTTCTGGAGGCCTGAATGCAACAAGTTAGTTGCCTGATGACTGGCGATAGATGAGTGCTACTTGCTCTTTATGAGTTTCCAGAGTAGGAACGCGCGAAGGAATGTCTTTTGGAGGCATAACTATTGAAGCGGATGTATTGATAAAAAGGCGGGGAGGCAAGGAAGTGATAGGAGGGGGGTTTGCGGAGGGTATCAGGGGAAACTGTGTTAGGCCCCGTTCACTGCTTAGGTCTTAAGGGGGAACTCCGAGATAAGGGGGCATTGAATCCAAAGCAAAGGTAAATGAGAAAGGGTAAATGATAAACAGAGAACAAAGATCATTAGAGGAAGAAACCCGAAGAGAAGAGGGTAATCTTTTATAGCCCTGGAGTCGGTGCTCCGGGGTGTAGCAAGTCGGCTCCAGGTCAACTTGGTCAGTTCAAACACTGAAAGGTCTGGTTAAAACAAGAAAGCGGAGTAAGACTGGGAGACCTCCGTTACATGACCTGAGCAAACACATCATGGGCGCTTAAAACCACAGGCTTGAACCAATGGTCTCCGTGCATCCGGCTCCGAGATGTGGGTACACACACACTCCGTGTGATTCGGGAAAAGCGGGGCCGCCGGGGACTGTTCCGGTCTAAATCCCGGTTCATGGTGCTGTGACTAGGCGGTACTAGGTTAAGTAAAAGCTAAACACGGAAGGTAAAGAAAGTGCTGGTAAGTATTGGACGCCAGCAGATCTTTTCAGACTCAAGTTCGAGCACTGTTTTTAGAGAGTGACTACACCAAACAGACAAGTTCTGAATGTCGCCGAGAGCTTATGCGAGGTAATAATGACCGACTGGAAAAGAATTTAAGCATAGAGAATGAGGGTTTTTTTTTTATTTGAGAGAGAGAGTGTGTGTGAAGCCCTAAAAGATCCATGGAAAGCCTACAACGGTGGTGAAGCGATCCAGTCCAGATTCGACTGTCATCTTCGTCCTGATGTTCAATGTGAACTACAACCGACTTTTCGAACAAGAAGATTCTTTCATCATAGCTTCAAGCTCTCTGATTCCCTGATAATCGACATTCGCCCCATCACTGCTCACAGGAATCTCATCAAGTGAATCCGTTTTCGTCACACCTGCCTCAGCTCCATAGAGGAGACGTTCCTGGACGGAAGACGTATCGTGAATACAGAGCAGAAGCATCGAGCTGCAATAATCAGGGCTGCGATGTATTGGTATGAGGACATGAAGAGAGTCATGGGGCTTACAGATTGTTCTCGTGTATTGGGACTATTTGACTGGGCGGATCCTCAGCAGCCATGATCAACTGGGACAATGCAGTGACCGCGTGGACGAAGATAAACGTAGGAAGAAATTAAAAGAAAGCTGTCTGCTTATACAGAACGATAAGTTACAGTCACTTCTTAGTGCCCAAAATGGCGAGAAGTGAACGATGTGACGATTGATAATATCAGTTCTATTGGGACTGAACAATAAGTTGAGAGGATGGAGGGTCTGTCATTTAATTTATACATATTATTAGACCTTGGAAAAAGCCATCGCAACCTCTGGTACTCTAGCTCTTGTCACATTTCCTACAAGGTGGCTGCGACGATTCAAAAGAAGCCGGACACCTGCAGACACAGGATTTTACGTAGGGTCACTTCTACTACCAGCACCCATGGCAGTGAAAGTTGACAGGGAGATTCTTGGTTTCTAAACTGACCTCGATTGACCTGTCATAACTTTGTCCTTGTATCAGGAACCGCTGTTAATGGGCGTAGAAGTGGGTGTGTAGTTATACCAGATGCAAAAGAGACATGGCTGAACGATGGAAAAAAGACACGAGATCTTACTCAGACAGACCCGGATCTTGATCCAGATCAAGATCAAGGCACGCGTAAGACAGGGAAAGGAGGACCCAAGGCATTGGACTAGGCTGACATTAGGCTTCCATCGGGCATATAGCATGCCCATTTTGCGATCTGAGACACGAGGGATATGTTTACCAGATCGTACGATATAAGTCACTTAGTAGTCAACCTGGATATGACCAACTGCCGAGATGCATTGTAATTGGACACCTTTTAAGGTTGCATGGGAAACGAGATCTAGATACGAATTGAGGAGAAATGCATATGCATCCAGAAAGGCAGCATGTCGATATCAGGGATGTGATATCTGAACAGAGCTGACTCGGATGGCCACTCCATGCAGAACAATTATCTTTCTGCACACCCTAGCCCATAATTTTCTCTCTAAACATACTGAGATGAATATTATAAGAGAGACCTGTGCTAGCTTTGTACTCTATTGGTGTTAGTGTGATACTCTGGCATGTGCTAAGAACGATAACTACTGGCAATAACCTTCGTGAGTAGGATGTCCAACAGGCTGCTTAATGGTGTTGGGATAGAAAAATGACAGTAGCAAATGGGACTATGGCTATGACCATGGCAAAGGAGAGAGAGACATCATTTGCCGAGTTGACGTTGAACACGTTGTTCGGCTGAAGCCGTTTTGCTAGGATCAGGGTGTGAAATCATGATCGCGCACTATGATTGAAAATCATGAGAACTGACAGAAACACAATGAAGATCGTAAAGCTTCGCGCGCTGGCGTTGGTCAGATCTCATAAAAGTCGAGCTTGCAACAAGACCCCTGGATTGTTGAACTCTCCAGTGCCTCCTTTTTCTCCCCACGTCGGTCAGCCCATCTCAAGGACACGGACACTACACCGGTAGAACGAGCAGGGTTCTAAGTGGCATGTCTGGTTCTCTAGAATGGCACACCCAAAGCGTGCACTACTGCCACCCGAGGCAAGGCAGCGGATGAAATTGCAATATGCATATCTGTGCATTAGGATATGAGCGATCAACTTGGGCGTTCTTTTCATGACGATCGTGTCATTAGAGACCCCATACATCGACTCCCCCTCTCAACCCCTTGTGGCTTGCTTTAGCGCAAGAATATATAGAGTGCACGTCGAGTACTGCATGCATGCCCTTGACAAGGGATACTGCTGACCTAGTTTTCTGTCCCAGATCTTCGCATTCTTGCTCATCACTGCAGCGGGTTCAAATGGGGGCTTCCTACTTACAACGGTAAACCGGGGTGTTTGGCCAACCTACTCAAGTCAACAACAAAAGTGGCTGGAATGTCAGATGAAAACAAAGAAAAGAAAGATGGTGGCCTCATCTCAGAGACATGTTCATCTGAGACTTGGGTAAGAAAGTTCGGAGGAGCCGGAATATCTCATCTGGCTTGTTGAGCTGAAAGTGAACGCAGCGAATACGATCCTGAGGACATTTGTTCAGCTCCTTGACAAAGCCCCAACAGCAACCGGCGTAGAAGTATTCTGAAGCGGGTTCAACATGGGGAGCTCACTCAGAGTATCTTACGCACGGGGGATTAGCAACTGAGAGTGTTCCGAAGAGCACTTGATGGTTTTATGTTGAATGTCCGTATAAGTCAAATAAGCTCCACTTATCCCGGCGCTGACCGGTTGGCCGCCGGCCGCCGGAGGGTTCCTGTCTCCACTCACTTAACCCCTCCCCCACGTCAGTATTTGGAGCTTCAAGCTGATAAGGGCAGCCTCTATATTCTTATCTGAAAAGCTTCCCCTCTTCAATTTGCAGTCAAAGTTTCCTCAAGCTTGCTTCACTTAAGAGCTATTCATCATGTCGCACTCTCACGATGGTCACTCCCATTCCCACGATGGCGGCTTCAACGCCGTTGAGCATGGTCACTCGCATGAGATCCTTGATGGTCCAGGAAGCTTCCTGGGTCGCGAGATGCCAATTGTAGAAGGACGAGAATGGTCTGAGAGAGCTTTCACCATTGGCATTGGAGGGTAAGACTTCTACCACTCAGTTGTAGAAACAAAGCTGACTTGATCAGTCCCGTCGGTTCCGGAAAGACTGCCCTCATGCTCGCCCTATCCCTCGCTCTCCGAAAGGAATACTCCCTCGCAGCCGTGACGAACGACATCTTCACCCGCGAAGATGCAGAGTTCCTCACCCGGAACAAAGCCCTCCCACCTCCTCGCATCCGCGCCATTGAGACCGGTGGCTGCCCACATGCTGCTGTTCGTGAAGATATCTCCCAGAACCTCGCTGCATTGGAGGACCTGCACCGCGAATTCGATACCGATATCCTCCTCATTGAATCAGGAGGTGACAACCTTGCTGCGAACTACAGTCGTGAATTGGCCGATTTCATCATCTATGTTATTGATGTTAGTGGTGGCGACAAGATCCCTCGGAAGGGTGGCCCTGGTATCACGCAGAGTGACCTGTTGGTCGTGAACAAGACTGATCTGGCTGAGATTGTTGGCGCTGATCTTGGTGTTATGGAGAGAGATGCTAGAAAGATTCGAGAGGGGGGGCCAACGGTTTTTGCGCAGGTGAAGAAGGATGTTGGCGTCGATCACATTATCAGACTAATCAAGAGCGCATGGAAGGCCAGTGGTGCAGAGGAAGAGAGACGAAGCAAGGGAGGTCCCAGACCAACAGAGGGTTTGGAGCAGTTGGAATAACCATTCACATATATATCAAAAAGGGCACTACTGGAAATAGTCATGTAAGAGGAAAGGAACAAACGCCAACTTTTAATTCTAAAGGTATACTAAGTGTCATGTCTATGCCTGGTCATCCATCATCATATCGCCATCAGCTTGCACTGTGCTTGACTCGATCTCCAATAACGGTCCTTCCACAGGAGCAGCATTTCGTGGCCACACCCGCTTGTAAAGACTGACGCCGATGGAATCTTGAGGGTTGATACGTCCATCGAATGTCGCCTTGAAATAACCGTGTGTACCGAGAGGCTCCTTGATGAAACCGCTGCGGCCACGCTTGGTCCATAGAGGTAGAGCCTTGAACCACTCGACATCCTCTCGGTTGAAGAACATGTATCGAATGGTGACAATCTTCTTGTGGATGTGGTAAGGATGGCCAGTGAGGATAATGCGCTTAGCGATGACGCGAGATGTGGATGGTGGTAGAGCGGTTCCTGTACCGATGAGTGACAGACCAATATGAGGACCCTCCTCACTCTCATCCTTCTCAACGTCTTCGGCTGTGGTTCGCTTGAAGAACAGAACAGGCACCGCACCCCATGTTAGAGGACCCATAAAGGTCGCGATAGCTGACTGACCGGGGTGGAGGAACCGGCAGTACTTGTGAACATCGTTTGGTGTTTGTCCAGGCTGGGAGAAGAGAGGCTTGATCACCATTCGGCGAGGTCCACACTGGACAATGAGCTCCTCCTTGGCTTTGATAGACTTGGTGAAGTCGGAGCTGAGGTTGAAGAGGTAGTTGACAGCCGTCTTCTTGTTCTCGTGTCGCAAGAGAGAGAAGATAGTGAGGGGCTTCTTGGGGTTATAGGTCTTCTCCTGAATAGGGGAGATGCCCTTGACGTAGATGTGAACGCGGGTACCAGGCTCAACACCACCGACCAAAGCCTCTCTTGTTGCTTGAGATTTTGAGGATTGATAGTTTGGAATTTGAAGAAGACGTCTCCACTCCTCAGGTTCATGTGCGCGGTCCTCATCCTCCTGCCAGGTACTGGTTCGTAGACTCTTCAGACCACGATATCTGGCGAGACGCTCTCGGGCCAAGACATGGGGGTGCAACTCAATCTCATCAGGGAACTCCATATCATCCTCAACCTCGTTTCGCTTTCCAGCGCGATATTGCTCAAGTTGCTTAGCATCCTCCTCCTCGTCTGGCTCAATCATCATCTCTGATTGAGGATATTCTGAGGGAGCACCCTCAGTGGCGGGTGCAGGGGCATAACCCTCAAGACCATCCTCAGGGCGGGCCTCCTCCTCACCAGCCTCATCCTTCATCTCAAAGTCCTCCATATCGGACTCGGAGTCAGAGACATCCTCCAGATACCAGGCTGACTGGTAGTTGGATGTACCCTTGGGAACCTTCTTCTTGATCTTTCTCGCCTCAGCCTCCTCGTCTGAGAAGTAGTGGTGATCATCCAGAAGGACACCCTTCTTCTCAGTGGCATCAGTTGTCATAGCGTCATCAGCGTCGTTCATCATGACCTCCTCAGGAGCCAGCTCCACTAAGTCATCACGGTCCTCGGAAGGCTCCTCCAGAAGCTTGCCGGCCTCTTCAGGGTCAATGGTCATTTCCTCTCCCTTCTTCTTGATCTGTTTGGGCAGAGGAGCAGCCTCTATCTTCTCAATCTGGAAAGTTCCCCAGTCGCCGACCTGGATAAGACGGTCGGCCTTGAGGCCCTTGCCTCGGACAACACCAGTGATAACTGTTGAATCGGACTCGGAGTAGGCGAACTTGATATCCTCGGCAAGCATCCAACTCCTCTCGTCTCTCCATCGGATACCCTTTGGTGTTGTGCTGCACAGTGATCGCATAAGGTTGGCACAATCTTGTCGGTTCTCGATGCTGTAAAGCTTCTCTTGCTCGGGGTGGAAATGTGTGATGAAAGACTTGAGGGAGACCAGGACACTTTGTCGCTGCTTCGCAGGCTCAACCTTGTCAAGACCTTCAACGAGAGTGAAGAGGGTGGACATGCCCTGGCTCTCGACACTGCGCAGGATCAACTCTCCAAGCTCATCGACTTCGACGCTGGCGGACAGTACGACGATAACGAAATCGGCAACACGGGCAGCATCGAGACAGGCGTTCAGGTCTCGCTGGATAGGGATGTATTGCAGTTTTTGCTTGAATCGGTCGACTGTAACTCGGTAGTTGCCACTCTCGGTGTTGTCCTCGATGTCGACGCTGCTATTTAGTTGCTTGATCGCAGCGTTAAGGTCGGTTCCAGCGCACAGGGGAATAACAGCGACATGTCGAGGAGCGCCATCCTTTCCAGCGAAAACCGAAGTTTCCTTAACATGCTCCTTGTGCTTGTTCAATCGGGCCTGCTTGGCCTGGTTTCGTCGGTCGAATTTAGACATGACTTGTTGGTGAGGAGTTTTTCTGTTGCCCTTTTCGTCGGCAACTCGGCCTAATTTTATGTCAGAATTGAAGAAGCAAGAAATTTTCGGGAAGGAGTCTCACCCTTTGCGCGATCCCTCAACTCATGCTTCGAAGCGGCCCGTGACTTGAAAGCCTTGTGTGAAACCTTTGTGGTTGGCCTATGGTGATGAGCCACAGCGACGGGCATTTTGCTCTCGCCACCGGCTTTGAATCGAAATGGTAACGAAGCCAGATTGAGGGACAGAAATGTCGATACGGAGATTTCTGTACGAATTGTAGGCAAAGTGATGGCAATATCGTCGATGTTCTAGGCGGTGATGGCGGGGTTAAATCCAAAATAATTTTTGTGCCTATCGATAGTGGCGTATTAGCGGGTGACATAAAGAACCCTGATTGTTAAATGGATGCTGGGTCTCCAGGGTACCAACCTATTCGTGATTGATCGCTCGATTTTACACAATAGAACAGAAAGAATACTTAGATCTATAGTACACAGTTACTTCTAGTCTGAATTTTTGATCTCGATTACAACCCGAACCAATGAGGATAACTCTGCATCTACTAAACCTGGTACTTGAAGGACAGTTTATTCTGTCAACCAACAGTGGGGCATCCCCATCCAATAGACTCAACACGATAAGCGGTGAATTTTTTTGTCGATAAGGAAAGTTGTATGCCAATCCATCTGCCATCCAATTCAAAGTTGCCTTTCTTCCAGTTGAGCGCGTTGACAATACGAAAATATGGAGGTCAACACAGTTGATGCGCCCACTACAAAGGTGCGCGACAATGGCGCACTCGCCGTTCAAGGCGCCAGGACAGAACTCGTTCCTCGTCATGAGCGAGAACGTGCTCGTCGAATCCGAGAAGCAAACAAAGCCTACGGTCGAGGGAAGAAGGTCAACATCAAGGCCATCAAGGACAAGAAGCTTCGTAGCAACATGAAGCGCCTTGAGGGAAAGTACCAAGATGCTGCGCTGAAGGCTAAAGACGCCGAGATTCTGCTCGAGAACACATCTGGGTTTCTCGAGGCCGAGGACGAGCTCGAACGAACATACAAAGTCCGACAAGACGATATTACTTCGGATATTGCTGTGGGGACTGCGCAAAAGCGTTTCGAGCTCAAGCTGGACGATCTTGGACCTTATCATTTCGATTATTCAAGGAATGGGCGGGACCTGTTGCTCGGTGGTCGAAAGGGTCATGTTGCGACGATGGATTGGCGAGAGGGTAAGCTTGGTTGCGAATTGCAGCTGGGAGAGACCGTGAGGGATGTTAAGTGGCTACACAACAACCAGTACTTTGCTGTTGCGCAGAAGAAGTACGTTTATATCTACGATCACAATGGTGTGGAACTTCACACTTTGAGGAAACACCAGGAGGTGTCTCATATGGAGTTTCTGCCGTACCACTACCTATTAGCGACAATCGTGAGTATCACTTTGCCTACTTACTATATACACAACTAACAAAGGTCAGGGCTCTGTCGGTTTCCTCAAATACCAGGACACATCAACAGGACAATTAGTCGCCGAAATTCCCACCCGGTTAGGTCAACCGTGTTCCCTTAAGCAGAACCCTTGGAACGCTATTCTACATGTCGGTCATCAGAACGGAGCAGTTACACTATGGTCGCCCAACACCCAAGACCCTCTTGTCAAATTATTAGCGCACCGAGGGCCCGTACGCGATTTGGCTATCGACCGTGAAGGCCGATACATGGTGTCGGCTGGTCAGGATCAGAAGATGGCAGTTTGGGATCTGAGAATGTTCCGAGAGGTCAACAACTACTTCACACGCCAGCCTGCTTCTTCGCTGGCGATTTCAGATACAGGCTTGACAGCTGTTGGATGGGGTACTCAGACAACAATCTGGAAGGGACTTTTCGACAAGAACGCCCCTGTTCAAGAAAAGGTACAAAGTCCTTATATGGCCTGGGGTGGTGAGGGTAAGCGCATTGAGCGTGTGCGCTGGTGCCCCTTCGAAGATGTTCTCGGTCTCGGTCACGATTCAGGATTCTCCTCCATCATTGTTCCTGGCGCTGGTGAGGCCAACTACGACGCCCTGGAAGTCAACCCCTTCGAGACCGCCAAGCAACGACAAGAATCCGAAGTCAAGGGTCTGCTGAACAAGCTTCAGCCCGACATGATCGCCCTCGACCCCAACTACATCGGAAACCTGGACCTGCGATCCGACAAGCAGCGCCGCGCAGAGAAGGATCTCGATACGCCAGCCACAGATATCGCCGAGGAGATCCGCAAGCGAGCAAGAGGCAAGAACGGTGCGCTCAAGAAGTATCTGCGCAAGCAGCGAAAGAAGAACATCATCGACGACAAGAGATTGCAGGTGGACGAGATCTGGAAGGAGCAGCAGGCGAAGAAGGACAAGAAGCAGCTCGAGACGGAAGCGGATCTCGGACCGGCGTTGGCGAGATTTGCGAAAAAGGAGTAATAGGCTTGGATGTACAAATGCGAATAATACCCTTTATCACAGAAAATATGCTTCTTTTGAGTGAAAAATGCGGGTTTGTCTATCCAACCCCCGCGTGAATGTCTATTTTGCAGTACTTTTACATATCCGACCCAATTCGTGATCCCATGCGTATCTTCGTGTATCCCTAGAATCCTTTCTATTCTTTGCGAACCTTCACCGTTTACAGCAGCTTAAGTCCACCAGTGACCTGGTCAACAAGACTTCTAGGCGCAGGTCCAACACCCAGCACCGTCATGCTACCCGCCTCGATCTGTGTTCGGCCAGCATCCTGGATAACCTCCGCCGTGATACCCAGAGACCGGGCCTTACGTCGAAGCTCGAGCATCTCGTCTTGGCTCTTGACTTGCACGGCAATCTTGGCCTGGCCGAGACGTTCCCAACGCTTGAGGATTTGAGATTGGGGAGAGTTGGCAGGTGCGCGGGAGAGGGTCTTGTAGCATGCGAGAGTTGCGTGGGAGCATTGAGCAGCGATTTTGCCTACAACGCATACTGTTAGCACTCTGCATAGAAGATTGTAGGATAAACTGTGGTAACATACCCTTTGTCATGCCCAGATCTGTTCGCACAACGAGAACGAGCTTGCATTCCTCTCCATTGTCCTTAAGAACAGGCTCCTTCTCCTTCTCAACATTCTTCAAACCCTGCCTCTTATCGGCGTCAGCACCATTGGCCCAGTTCGGCGCGTGGTCAAGGACAGTATCATCCTCATCAATATCGCTTTCGTCGCTCTCAACAGGATCGTGTAGGTTGCGCCGGCGCTCCTCGAACAGAGAGGGCGGGATGAGGTAGCCTCGGATAGTATAGATACCGAAAGCGTAACCGGTAAGAAGGGCCACGACGGCTGTGGAGATTATAACTCCTGTTTGTTCGCCTTGATTCATCGCCATGGTTTTGGGTGAAGAGCAGGGTCTGAGGTTGCGATGCTGTTTTTTTTTGGTGGTTTCGGTGATTAAGCTAAGTGCTGTATATTGACGTTGGTTACATCACGTGGGGCAGCCATGACTGTCGATGAAAATCGATTTCATCGGCGTTTCAAACTCTCGTCAAGATCATGTTTTCAGCTTTATTCATTACTTGGCTTCCTTAGTCGTTGTTTCGAATTTTAAGTATTTGTTAAATCGATATTTGCCATGAACAACGCTCCCGGTGCAGCCGTCTTTATCTCTACCTGCCTAGTGAACCCTGTACAACCAAATATCTACGTCCCGCCTTGTTATACACTATTCAAATGAGACTCGCTTCGCTGCGATTCAATACGCTCAAAATGATATCAATTCTTTCTGGAACTCCTCACATTACCAGTACACCACGTTGAATGTATCCAGACTCGTCGACCAAGGGGTGACAGCCAAACATCTTGGAAAAGTCGTTCAGACAGGCACTTCGCGCCTCCATGTGACCCTTCTTCATACTGATTCCAACTTTAGGAACAAAGTTGACATATTTCTCATGTCCATTGATTAGCAGAGGCCCCTCGCCAGTGAGCAACCCGTGGACGTAGTTCATGGCAAGATCCTCGCAGTTGAAGCCCTCATCGACATAGTTTCTGATCTGTGTCATGATCGTGTCGTTGGAGGAGTAATAGTCGAGAAATGACACATGTGAGAAAGCGAGATTGGTCAGAACCATGTTATACTCATCCTCTCCCCATCTGCTGGAGCAGAATGTGTATTTGTGGTATCCAAACGTATCGACTGGTGTACATCGAGCCAGAGCACCGACCATTCGATTCCTGCCGAACTTGCGCCATGTCTGAAAGACGAACTCGAGGTCGTTTGGGTGATAGTATACATCATCGTCTGAGAGCAGAATCGCTTGTGTCTTGTAATCGGGATCGGGCCAGAGCTTCTCGTTGAGGCTGTTGCGCTTCGACTTTCGAAATCGGACGGGGACTCCGTATTTGGAAACGTAGTCCTCTGGAGGATAGTTTTCGAGGTCATTCCAGACGACGACTATTTCGAGGAGCGAGGGGACTTCCTCGCTCAGGATAATGTTGAGTGTTTCTTGGAGTTCCTTCGGTCGACGATACGTTTGCATAGCAATTCTGGAACACGATCATTATGAGCATTCTATCAATGGATGAGACGAAAAAGAGATTCGGATACGTACGTAAACTTATCGTCCATTAGGTCCTCGTACTTCTTTTGTGAAGCCTCCCATATTTCTCTCGTCCCATTGATCCCCTTACTCTGACATGTCGGATATCTCGAGATATGGCTGACAAGTTTCGGTATAAAGAAACCCGCATTTGTCAACTTTGCCAAAATAATGATGAACGAAAGAGCAAAGAACACAGCAGACGTAATAGTCGCCGCTCTTCGAAATGCTCTTGATTTGACAACTTTTGGCGTATGGAGCTTCACCCACTCAACCTTTGCCGCCACTCTATTCCTCAGGGGCAGAGTCTTCTCCATGAAGGAGGAGTTTGAAGGCTTCAACATTGTTGCTTGTGGCAGAAGCCGGGAATACTGTTCCATGATACCTTGGGTAGCCTATATAAAGGGGAAGGTTGTTCTCAAGGGAGAGTACACGGGAGAGGCGTCTGGTATGTACCGCTCGGGAAGTATTGGACAAGATAACCAATTCAATTGTCGGAATCTTGGTATATGACTCGGATTCGAATTATAAGTGCATGATGGCGGACTTGGCACGCTTAGAGAGAATGCGAGCTGAGATTAGAGGTGAGAAAGGAAAAGAAGCAAACATGAACGGAGGGGACACGAACAGACAGCGGCTAAGTATCATGAAGAACAGAAGCAAAACGGACATTTCTTTGTTGGCATCGACTTACACAAATACATCCTCCCTTGCTTCAACTCCCCCCTTTGATGGCAACAAAATCAAGTCTAAATCTAAGCCTAAGTCTAATTCTAGTAAATTATAGTGCAGCTCTTGGTAATCTCCCGCAAGGGAATGTACACGCTACCAATGATAGTAAAGTGTTGTCGCACGTAGAGACATGTTTATTTAATCGCCGCTCATGTTCTCTCAGCAAATCGGTTGACCCAATGCTACGGTTCACGGCTATGGTTCGTCTTTTTCAGTTTCTTCCGCTAGACTCGACGGGGAAAGGAGTCGACGATCTTGGTTGTGCGAGGTTATCGCAACGACCATCGCGTGACTGTTGTACTCCTGATTTAATATCAGGAGTTTAGTTTGAGTCTATTTTACTTAGAGGACGATAAATTCAATAGTTTACGTTTTGAGAATTATGCCAAGTCCATAGAACCTTGTCTCGTAGATCAAAGTCCGATAATAACCCCTGTATTTCCATCGTTAGCGGCTGAACGCCACTATCAAACCCTCCCCTGCATGTGCGTGCTTGTGATCCTCCCGCACTTTGCCGACGTCAACTCACAACCGATATCACATTACACAGCATAACTGCTGATATCTTGACATCATGGGCGCAAATAAGGCCCTCATAGTCGGTATATCGGGATGCTCTTCGAGTGGGAAAACAACCCTGGCACGGCTGCTGCGGGACATTTTCCCCAATACTTTCATTCTTCATGAGGATGACTTTTATAGACCTGAGAACGAGTATGCCACAATCGATATTCTTGTATGGACTATATCTAACTTCAATAGGTTGCCGACCAAAAATGGTCTGCTAGATTGGGATTGTGCTGAGGCTCTTGACATCTCGGCCATGGCCGAGTCCCTCGCTTATATCCGTCAACACGCTGCCTTTCCTGTAAGTCAGATATCTTCAGTAAGGGTGTTTATGTCTGACTTCATCTTTTAGCCTACCCTTGATTCCAAAGAGGATCAAAACTCCGTGGGCAAGTGCCCTGTACCGCAAACCACCATTGCCGCCCAGCGTGCCAAAGTCGATGCCGTTCTAGGCCCAGACCACCCCCTCCGCACCAATCTCCGTCTATGTCTACTTGATGGCTTTCTCCTTTACTCCCCTTCCATGGCTGCTATAAAGCCCAACTTAGACATCAAGCTCTTCTTGCGTACGACATACGAAAAGGCTAAGAAGAGAAGAGAAGCCAGAGACGGATACGTCACACTGGAAGGCTTCTGGGCAGATCCTCCTGGTTACGTGGACAAGATCGTCTGGCCTAACTATGTGGAAGAGCATGCTTGGATGTTTGAGGATGGTGATGTAGAGGGGAAGTTCAAGACAGATGTTTTGGATAAGGAGGGTATCAAGGTACAGAGTGGTGTGAGTGCTGATGGAGATATCGAGAAGACATTTGAGTGGACAGTAGACACGATTTTGGAAGAACTTGGAAAGCAAGTATAGGCAAACTAGGGTATCTATCTAATCAAGGCCGTATCTCTCGTTAGTCCTTTCTAGTCTTCTTCAGATAGAATCTTAGACTCTCGTGAAAATTGGTTGGAATCCCCTCTTCGTCTACACCATCGATCGACACCTCGTCATCTGAAACTTCAATTACAATCCCATCCTTCTCTGGATGAGGGACCAACCTTTTCGTCCTCTTTCTTTTCTTCTCCTCTTTTAGAGGATCAATCAAGTCCTCGTCCTCGGAGAATTCGATCAAATCCTCCTCTATCGGACGATGGGCTAACTCCACTTCCTTTGGGTGGGCGACCAACTTCTTCGTCTTCTCATTCTTCGGTGGGTCGACTAACGACCTCGTCTTCTTCGTCTTCTTTCGAGGATCGACCAACGACTTGTCCTCTGGAACACCGGTCGGAATGCCTTCCATTGGATGATCAGTGGACTCCTTCTCTGGTGAAGTATCAACCGAGACCTCGTCATGTTTCTGTGCAAGATCATCTCTCTGCGAAGCGCGTTCCTGATCCCCTTCCTATGAGGTCTCCATTGCATCTTGTTGCTGATCTACCGCATTCCTCTCTTCTGTCAAAAGTCTAACCGCATTCTCAGCAGCTCTGGTCATAGCCTCAACCTTGTTGAGAGAATCCTCGACTTCTCCTACCAACCGCTCTCCAATTGTGACTCCACAACTCCATCGAGGCTCAGGGCCCTCGAACAAGGTTGGGCGGTATTCCATGTTCTGACTGACAGCGAACTTGGAGAGTTCCTCTTTGGGATGCTGAACGTGTACGTCCTCCTTGAGAATACGCTCCAAATAGGACATGACGCCAAATGTGCGAAGAACATCAGTGCATTCCTCGATGGATCCGGAATCAACCCAGACGGCTCCGAGAAGAGATTCAAACATATCCGAGTAAAACTTCTTTGGGCGAAGGCGTGCGAGTAGCGCCCATGGGTAGTGAGTACCCGTTTCGACAGCTGTGACAAGCTCCTGTCGCATGGATTCGAATTTCTGCTCGGTTTCCTCCATAACCTTGGACATTTCTGAAGAGCTAAACCTCAAGAACTTCCAAAGTGGAAGTGCAGTCATTTTGGTTACAAGATCACCATCGGGACTGACTTCCAAGTCTTGTCGTCCGACACGTTGGACCAGATTCACAAATGAAAGAAATTCTCCATTCACCAGGGCCGTTTTGATCATGTGGAGGCGTGAGTTAGGAATTGGCGGATCGTGCTGAAACATTGTGGTGACAATGATGTAGTCCAGAACAGCATCTCCAAGAAACTCGAGCTGTTCGTAGGATCTTTGTTGCATGTCTGCGGCATATGATCCGTGAGTAACCGCCTCAATCAACAGAGACTTCTTCTTGAACGTATACGAGATCAAGTCTTCAATGGGTTCAAGAGTACTGGGAAGCTCTACGTCGCTAGGAGCTGCAGCAAAGAGAATGTCTCTAGCCACACCTTCTTGATGCCAGTTGCATCTGTCGCCCAAAAAGACCGAAATGCATTTGAGGGCCTTGGTCATCCCTCCGTCTTGGTAAGAGGCCCCAATAAGTGCCTCTACAACATCAGCCAAGGTCTTCGATCCACGCATTGGCGCGGGTCGATGGGCAGTCTTTCCTTTGAGATAGTCATCCAGATAAAGTGGCCTCCACTTTAGAGCGGTAAAACTCTTCGAAAGAATGAACTGTGAGAGTCCTTTCTCAAGACACACTCGCTGGAGTCGTTCGTTGGATACAAGTCGATCTTTAAAATGGTTAAGAAGGCCTTCGGGCCAGGATGGGTCTGTGATTTCGGTTAGCATATAGACCTCCACAACAAGGGGTTAACTCACGTTCAGAATAAGCCTGAATGACGGTGCAAAACTTCAAAATCGAATCGCCCAAGAACTCAAGTCTCTCGTAATCGACAGGCTCACAAGCACTACGCGAGCTTATGGCCTCAAGCACCAACTGCAAATTCTCGATGCCAACTGGCTTCAGGAGAGTAGAAGATAGTTCAGATGCAATAAGCTGCACCTCTAGCTCATGTATGATATGTGGAATGAACATGCCGCACTTGACGGCTCGTCTCTTGACCCTATCAACACGGGCATAAGAAATGGGAAGCACACACTCGTACGGTTTAGTGCTTGACTTGGCCTGACCATCTTTCAAATCATGAAGTAAATCGGCTCGGAGACCCCATCTTTCAAGAACCAGATACTCTTCATTCGCAGGTGCAGCCACATATTGATAGAATGGGCGCTGCACATCGTTGATATCAGGTTTGGAAGGGATCGTGCGGACGTAATGAAACGGCGTTTTGTTTTGGTCTCGCACGAGAATCCTATGCCTTTTCGCCTCTTCCTCTTGTTCACAGAAAGGGTATGCACCGATGTCATCCAGGGTGACGTGGTGGTCATAGCCAATTGACCTATTGACAATTGACATCTTGATAACATGCTCGCGATCTTCTACCGGCCAGCGGTGCTGAAAGTTCATAGCCAGGAGAGCCGAAGTTTGATCTGGTTCTTCTAAAGATACCGCATCGGGTATATCGTCAAACGAATCGCATACGATGGACCACTTGGAGCCATTCCCAGGGTACAGTGTGATGTTCCGAGGCAGGTCAATCAGAGCAGGCAACGCGACGTTAAATATAAAAGTGTCGGAAAACTCGTCGTCGGTAAACTCGAAATGGTAGAATTGCTTATCGCAGCCCGAATTCCACCGTTGGGCGATCTGGACCCAGGGGTCGAAGAGAGGATCTGGTTTCAAGTCAACCTTCTCCTCCACGTTCTCTGACTTAGCATTGAGGGGGGCCAGATTATCTGTGACTAGCCCTGCTTCGTACAAAGCGACGTATGCCTGAAATGCGGCATCTTTCATGGCATTCCGTTCAGACTTCCACCCGCAAGCACTTTGGAACTTGCGAAGTTTGAGTGGTAAGCTTCCTGGCAAAGTAACCGTTGCTCTCAAGATCGGTCCGCCATATTCAGTCTCTTCTTTATGAAAGACGTAGTCGGGGAGTTGACCAACATAATCTGTGCGGAAAACAACTCGACAGAAGCGATCCAGGTGTTGTCGAGCATTGTCGAGGTCTAGCCGTGCCCCTGTGTTCTTGATGATGTAGTAGGTAGAATCAATCTCCTCCGCCCGTGCCTGTTCATCCAATCGAGCCAACTCTCGTTGGTCGTCTTCATAACGGTCCTTCATCCCTCGCTCCAGATCTTCCCAGGCGCGGGTGTCTGTAATTGAGCTCAGCAAGGCAATCATCTTGGACTCCTGCATGCGAGCTCGTCCACGACGCTGGATGAATGACTTGAGGGTGGCGATCTCGTCGAAGGACACAACTAGGTTGCATGCAGGAACATCAATGCCTTCTTCTAAGACACTGGTAGCCACCAGGAGATTGATAGCCCCTGATCTAAAATCATCGAGGACTTGAGGACCAGTGCCACTGGAGTACTCATAGACTTTCTGTTTCTGGAGTCCGTAGCTCGAAGCCCCGACTATTGCACCGACGCGGTAACGGTCTTGAATCAGGGGGTGGTTGTTAAGAAGCTCGCAAAGGGTGTATGCCGTAGCTCGTTCCTTGACGAATATGATTCCAACTACACCGCTTCCGGCTGCAAGAAGTTCATGGATCAGTCGGCTGGTTTTGTGTGAGACAGTTTGGGCGGTTGGTGGTGAGTTGTCAACGGCACCGATGTTGATTCGGCGCAAGTGTCCTGCAAGATAGGTCCTGTCCTCGTTGGACCATGCATCGGTGAAAGTACTGGGTGCGTCGATTCTACCAAGGAAAGCCTTGATCATCTGTGAAATGTATCGATCTACTGCCCAACTTCCGAGCTCCGCAAGGATTTCTCTGCTCTTGTTCCACATGCCTTTCACTTGCTGCTGGGAGAAGGTATCGTGCTTCATAATCACGTTCATTAACTTTTCCCGCTTCTTTTCGTCATTAGAGACAAGAGCCTTCAACTTTAGAACCTCAGGATCCTTGGCGATGTCCATGTTCGAGTACTCTGATTGCAGTTGTTGCATCAGTTGCGTACGTGGAGGGATCTTGGTAACATCGTAGAGTGAGCGAACGAGATGAGGTTTGTTGACATGCTTGAGTAGCTGCTCTCGGTGGGTGGTTGGAGTAACACAGATAGCGTCCATTGTGTTCTCTAGTTTCTCGATCTCCCTGAGATCTGATGAGATAATGGGACTGGCAGTCAAGCCAAGTATGGCAGGTACCGGCATACTGGTGTTCTTGTGTTCATGGTAGAAGTTCATCATAATCTTTCGCCCAGAGCTGTTCTTGACGCAATTATGGACTGCCACTGGTTAACAAGAGGAATTAAAGGGTGGACAGCCACTTACCTTCATCAAATACTATTAAGGCGAGCATGTCCATCCTGACAAAAGCGTGGTCAAGGGCATCACGCAAGATGGAGAAGGTAGATACGATGACACGAGTGCCTCGAAGGATCCGGGGCCAAACTTCTGGCGACCATGCATCGATGTTGAGCTGCCCCGTAAGCAGTCTCATGGGCACCGATGGCATTTGTCTCTTGATGACATTGAACTGTTGCTCACAGAGGCTAACGGTATTTCCTAAGAACCATACAAGCTTTACGTAGTCAGTAACTGACCAGTGAGTTTTTCATTGTCCACGAACCTTCTCAGGTGAGCTTCTCTCGAGTTCCGCTTGAATGCGAAGAACGGCGCTGTAGTGTTTCAGTCAACGTCTCACTCCCAGAACACTCCGCGATAAACATACACTTGGGTCTTTCCGCTGCCTGTGTCCATCTGAAAGCTGTTAGACGATACGTTTCGAACAAACGATGCTCAAAAGTACTCACTGCAACGATCACGTTCCTCTTCAAGCTCTGTTCGAGCATCTCTCGCTGGTAGGCACGAGGGCTGATGATCTCTGGGACAGGAGATGCGTCTTTGGACTTGCTTGCGGCGTTTTTCGTGCCAATTATGGTCCTGTCGGTAGGGATGATGGTTACTGTTTCTGTGACATCGATCATTGGTGGTGGTGTCGAGGCGTTGGCAGGACTCTCCGGCCATGAGGAGTCTGCACTCCCACTGTTGGGAGACTGCTCTTCATCGGCTTCCATCATTTTTTCATCATGAGTCAGTAGAGAATAGCGAGTTTGATGTCTTGGGCGAGCCAAGTGTTGGGGTATTCTGGTGCGCCTTGGTGAAGCTATCTTCACGCAGGAGAGTGATCGGTGGAAAGCTAAAGAACGAAAGAAGGTTTTCGGGTACTGCTTTGTTCTTAGCAGCATAGAAAGGGGAAAAACAAAAAGAAGAAAAAAAAAGTCTATCAGAAATCTAGAGGTATAAAAAGAGAGATAGTGGGAGGCCCACCGAGTGTTGTTGGTGTAGGAAGCACTGATTCACAAGCACTCGAGAGTGCGGAGGGACTGCAGATTAGCAATTGTGCATCTGGCACTGCCGAGCTGAATAAGGAGACAATATCCTCCCCGTCACTTCGAAATTACCACTAGAAACCCGAATATAACGATGAATTATATTCTTCTACATCATTAAACACTCCTCCTTATATTTTTATTGCCGCTTCCCTGATAGAATTGCTGTCGATGATGTGTTCTAGCACTGGAGTGCTCCGTAGTCTGCCAATGCAGGGGTAAAATTAGCACCGTACATTCTCACTACCTCGCTGAACAGGCACCAAGAACACAATGTAAGTACAAGAAAGCCAAGGAAAAGAGGTAATTCTCTGCTGCTCAACATCTCCTCTGAGTTAATGACAATCAGTATTGTTTTCCCCATGTTTTTCCAAGCATTTTGGTATAAGTTGACCTCCCAGTGATCAAGTGATGATATTTGTCTTGAGCGGCCACTGAGTTTCATCGTAACTTCAGCCCTCAACCTACCACTGTCAAATTGGATACGACGTTCCACACACCATCTACATCTCAGCTTGCTTTGTAATTCCTCGCATACACTGACATCCCAGATCGTCATGGATCTCCCAGTACGAACCCCTTCCTCAGACCAAAGCATGGAGCTATACGCAACCGGCTTCAATGCCTGGAGTCAGCTCACATTCGGCCTTTCGCCAGCGGACGAAGAGCCTGACGATGTATTCACTTTCACGAAAATATTGGCGGCTAGCTCTCTTGGTCGGATTGCTTCTGAAATGAGCTATACTGCAGGTAGGTCTTCGTTGTTTCTGTCACCTGGATTAATCCTGACACTCTGAAGTTCAACAAAATACTTCTTGGGCCATTGCCGGATCATCTCCTGACCAAGTTCTTCACCGTGAAGACAACCAAGGGTTTCTATTCGACTCTCCAAGTGCTATTTCAGGGGATGGGAAGGTCTTGGCTGTTCAGGATTCGGACTGTTCACCCTCAAATCAAGTCATTGTTCAGTATCCGTCCTTGGCGGCATGGAAAGCCAACAAGAGTACCGACTCATGGCCTTGCAAGGCTTCTGTCCGCCAGATAGCAGCCTACGATACTGGTTTCATCATTCTTCTCGAGGATGAAACCGTCTCAAGCTGTGGTGATCCACGATTTCGAGACTGCCTCGGCCGTGATGTTGACGAGTCCTGGTTAGTATTCATGAACACTGCAGAAAGACCATACTGATGGTGTTGTTAGCCCTGCCAACGAACCCGGAATCATACAAGATCTGAGTGATCTCGGCGAACCCATTAAGAAGATTGCTGCAGCGGGATATACAGCTGCAGCTTTGACAGAGAGTGGCGGATTGTATCTCTGGGGTATGGCAACCCCTGGCTCACAAAGCCGACACAACTTATTTCAAGATATCAGCGAGTTGCCAAATTACTTCCAAGTCGATGGAGACAAAGACGTGCAGGATATTGGAATTGGAGAATCACATGCCATTGCTCTCACATCAGATGGCTGCATCTACCTGATAGGGAATAACACCAATGGTCAAATTGGTCTTGGCAAAGATGCTCAAGATCTAGTTCCATCATGGTCAAAGATAGATTTTACGCCCCCTGAGGGTTTGGAAATTGTTGCCGTCCAGGCTGGTCCCAGGTCATCATTTATAGTCACAAAAAAGGTAAAACAATCTCAAAGCTCATAATGAGCTGCTCTTCTATCAGAACCAGCTCTATTGAGCTCAATGACCCTCTATTGTACAATGCTTCTCGTTGTGATCATTTGCATAAGGGCAATCATAGACTCGTCAGGTAATCCTCAATCTCTTGAGGGGTCAGCTTTCTGAAACGGGGTCCGACGGCCCCATCAACACCCTCAAGACCAAGAAGATGGTCTGCAGGAGCACCGACAATACCTGCAATATGTTAGCATGACTCCCACTCTCGACTCTTTCGAAAACTTACCAATTTCGATGCTGTCACCGTTCATCTCACCCTCGATGTTGTCCTTCAGGGTCAACAGCGCAATGTGGATAGCGTCCTCAAGCTCGAGCTCCTCCGAGTATCGCTTTTCCAAGAATGTCTTGGCCTTTGTCGCACTCTTGCCAATGGCTGTAGCCTTCCACGGGTAGTAACTGCCAGAGGGATCGACTTGGTACAGCATAGGGCCGCCCTTGTGAATACCACCAGTCTTTCGGTTAACCTTCTTCTCCTCGCTCTCCTCAGTGGTCTTGTTCTCCTCCTCAGGCTCGATGCCCTCATCCCAACCAGCAACCAACAGACTCACACCATAAGGTCGAACACCAGCGGATTGCGTGGCCTCCTGCATCACTCGGGCGACATCCTGCACCAATATTCTGGTAGGGGGGTACTCGTTATAGATGCGCTTGTAGCCGGTATGTGAAACCTTGCGTGCTCGGTCCACCAATACTCGATAATCAGGGCCCATGCCGGAGTACACCATGCCGATGTTGGGGGTAATGTCGCTGATCTTGGAGAGGGAGCTCTGGTCGGCCAGAGGGGATGACGACTTTTTCTCGGTGGCAAGGACGATGCCGTTGGTGGCTTGTGCGGGTTAGTAACAGCTTCTTCAAGATGCTGGAGGTAGCGCGAACCTTTGATGCCAAGAGCAGTGATTCCCTGGTTTACAGCATTGAGGGCATACTCTATTTCGTCAAGTTAGTTTCAAAGCTTGATTTGGTCACGAAACCTCGATATGCAAACCATATCGAAGCTATGCGGCGGCAATTACATACCAATCTGCACCAGTTTTCCGCTATAACTCTGTCAGTGATGATGCTCGCATATCAACAGTGTCGTCACCGAAACATACCTGGGGGAGAAGGTTGTGAGAGAGAAAGAGTATCGGTCCGCCATCGCTCAAGGTCCTGCTTTGATGGAAGTGGTATGGAAGAAGTGAGTGTTGAATTACGGGCGGTTATCAATTCGTGAGGTTGACGAGAAGATATCAAGCAAGGCTGCAGCTGGAGCTTTGGTGTTTGGCCAAAGCAGCTGTAGCCTCTAGGCAGGCCCAGCTGCGCGTCGAGCTCAACCGCTGGGAGCTCTGAATGCGGGGCAACAGATTATCCGAGCGCCGGTTAACAGAGTCTACGTATCAGCTCATAGACTTCATATGGTGTCATTCAGAAAGTTACTTAATAAACTTCAATTAGTGAAATATTTATATGGAGGAACTTTTTGAACTTCTACTCAAACTCCTATAACTCTTCCATCAATTCCCCGCCATTAGTCCTGCAACCAAAATTGGATCCTCACTCGACATTCCCGGGATCATACTTTTCCCGGACCGCGCCAAGTTCCTGAGACTCCACACACAAAGCAGCTTTCTTCGTGCGAGCTTGGTATCGGCTATTTCGGCTTCCTTCCTCCATCTTCTCTCGCAAGAAAAAGAGGCTGAGCTGGCCTCTCCATACCTAAGGTGACCTATCTCCTGGTTACAATCTTGGCGGGCGGCCAGGTGTTTCCCCCGCTCTCCTACTGCTCTCACTTGACATTTGAGCTTCGCAAAAACATGTAGGTTGCGCATGAAACGCCTCCACGGCCCACGACTTTACCACATTTCTACTGTGATTCTATCACCTGCTGTTACCCTTACTTCTCTTTACTTCCACAGGTTCACGTAATTCATCATGGAGACGCGCCCTACTTGGGATTGGTCCTCGGTTGGGGATACTTCTGCTCGACAGCCTGGACCAGAGCCACGTGCAGCGACACCAGAGCCTACAACACGATGGGCATCTCCTCCAAAGCCTGATACTACCTCTAACCAGGAGTCTCGAAGCGCGCCGAGACATAGGCGCTACGGCTCGCGCACGTGTCGTATCTGTCTCGACACTGAAGAGCCTAGGTTCCCTGAACAGTCAACAACGTTTGGCATTCCTACAGGTTCATCTCGACCTACATACGTCTCCGACGACCCAGAACTGGGAAGGTTGCTATCACCGTGCAAGTGTAAGGGTTCGCAGAAATATGTACATGAAGGATGTCTCAATGCCTGGAGACTCGCAAACCCCATGGAAGCAAGGAACTACTGGCAGTGCCCGACTTGCAAGTTTACGTATCGCATTTCTCGACTACACTGGGGCTCTGTCTTGAACAGCAAGTGGGCGCAGGTTGCTTTGACCGTCTGGTTCTGTATACTGAGCATTTTTGTCCTCGGATTTATCGCAGATCCCCTCTTTGATCTTTGGTCCGACCCAATTGGAACAATTGGCGAAACTGTCACAAGCGTGGTAACAGATATCGAAGCCTTGAGACAACCTCCACCACAAGAACCGACCTCTTGGTTCGAACACTTCGTCAAGGGCTTCTTCTCCCTGGGAATTGTCGGACTCTTCAAGACAATGCTTACCGTGACTCCATTCCATTGGTGGCAGCTCCGAAGCAGCGGCGTGGCAGGCGGTGGTGGTAGGAGAGGAGGCACTGGTCGAAACCGTGTCGAGAACATCAACCTCATCTTTGTACTCATTGGTGCATTTACGTTTCTTGTGGGCATCTGGAAATTTGTTCAGAAGCTGAGTGCTCGCGTGCTCAAGAATGTGAGCGACAGGGTTGTTGACGTCGGTGAAGACGACGACGAAGATGAAGATATCGGCGATGGACCGAATCAAGGAAGTAAGAAAGATCAATGAAGCTATGAGGCTTTTGCTCTGAAGAGGTTTTTTGTTCCTGTGGACCCAAATGCTTTACATCGTGTATGTATTTGCACACTCTTAAGTTGCCTAGATCTTGCTCCTCCCTGTCAAGTCAACTAGTCTGTGTGCAAAGATTTACGCTCTGCTGCGCCTTGGGTGAGAACCGTTTTGGCTCTTCGCTCGCTGGTCAGCATGAGATTATCAGCCTTCATTCACGCATCGTGATGCTTTCGGGCGTTCGTAACGGTGTGAGGCATCTGCTGGGTACACTACCCTCGTACAGAAGCAGTGAGCAGATTGTCGAATGTTGTTTGATACATGCCTGTATTATTATAATTCATGAATAAACGAGACCTCTCCGCCGTAGTCTTTATAACCAATTATTACCTCTTCATTGCCATGCTAAATGTTGCTTTTTGTTAGTGTCGTTCTTTTGTGTCACTTGCTCATGGAGTGCATACATGCTTTCTAATATCCCTGGATAACAGTCAGCAACTGCTGCTAAAAGAATGATCTGATTAGATAAATGAAAGCCTAAATATAGGCCATATCTTGATACGAATTCATCGTATTATCGAAGCATGTTATCACGTCTAAGTCGGATTTTCATCCCTCTGACACCGAGATGACGTTGGAATTTGGTGTTCTGAATTGACCCCTGTCATTGAAATACGGGTAGGGTAGCCCAGCATGTGGGCCAGGGCCTCATGAATTCGGCCGCTCCAAAAAGCCATCTATCATCAATCAAGTGCGCCGACCATGGCTTCCTGATTAGCTCCTCCATTTGCTGCGGACCAGATTGTTCGCCCTCACTCGCTTCTTGAATCCTTGCTGCGATCACGGTTACTCTTTTGAATCCGGTATAAACGACTGCCCGCTCTCGCAGTTACACGAGAACCTGATCTCCCTTCGCGAAACGGACGATCTACGAACGCTTACGGTGTCGCTCTGTCCGGTTTTAAGTCAATGAGACCAGAATAGCCTCGCTCGTGACTTATATAATACTCTATTCGAGGCCGTTCGACCGAGCAATCGCCCAAGATGCAGTTCGCATATCCCCCTCGCAAGAACTCCAACCCACTACCTTTCAAGCAACGTTCGTCGCAAATACCGCCAATTCTGCGCCGAATTCGTAAAAGAACAGCGCTCTTACTTCTGCTCGGAGCTATTGGATTTATATTCTTCCTCTTTGGACTAAAAGGCGAAACACCGTACCGCGAGCATGTTCCGTCGGGCAATCCCCCAGTTGTCATTGTGACGGTCTTGGACAATACGCAGTACAGCGACACCTATTTAGAATCGATCCGACACAACCGAGAGCAATATGCGTCAAGGCACGGTAAGCCAGTTGTGTAGATGGCTTGTTTATGGCTGAGGCTGACATGCTGTAGGATATGAAGCCATGACTGTACAAGGGACTGACTATGACACTGGCAAATCCCCGCGATCATGGGCCAAGATCATCGCGATGCGCCATGCGCTGTCGAAATACCCCGATGCCACATATGTCTGGTTCCTCGACCAGAACGCTTACATTATGGAGCTCGACAAGAAGTTAGAGGAGCAAGTGGTGAATCCGGCGAAACTAGAAAGCCTAATGATTAAGGACTGGTCTATAGTGCCGCCGGACAGCATCATTAAGACATTTTCCCACCTGAAGGGTGAAGATGCGGGCCTTGTTATCAGCCAGGACGAAGCAGGGCTGGTAACTAACAGTTACATCCTCAAGAACGGCGAATGGGCCAAGTTCTTTGTTGAGACATGGATGGACCCTCTGTACCAGAGCTACAACTTCCAAAAAGCCGAGCGACATGCGCTTGTAAGTTTTGCACTGAGTTATCTGCCGAGGACATGACCTAACCTTGTAAAGGAACATATTGTCCAATGGCACCCTACCATTCTCTCCAAGCTTGCACTCATCCCCCAGCGCACGTTTGCCTCATACGGCCGCAACAAGGAAGGCAATGCATACCGGGACGGCGATTTCGTCACGCTGATGGTCGACTGTACGGTCACAGGCCAGACATCCTGTGACAAGCAATCGCATTTCTACCTGCAACAGTTGAAGAACAAATTTGGCGATGCCAGCGTGAAGAAGCTACAATGAGCATGATGGACACGACATTTGAGCGAGGTCATTGGGCGTTTTGTGATAGACTTGCAGGGGTTTGATAGGATTGGAGATGGAAAAGCCAGTAGGTTTTTTTCTTGGCGTTAGTTGGTGACTATTGGTGAATTTAGCTTATATGAATCTGGACATGTTCTATCTGCATGGATATCAATACGTTGAGCTTTATGTCTTGAAAGCATATTCTTGGTCTTGCTATTTTGTTATAAAACTCAAATTTATATCTTTTCGAAGTCAAACTACGATCTGAAGAAACTGTGATAAGACAGGTCATGAATATTACTATGTATAACGCAAGCACTAAACTTATGCTGCTTCACAAGGTCAGAATTGGAGCCTTGGAGTAATCGATGAAATCTCATCTCGTCTAATTCGAATGGTATGACGACAAGCTGGATTAGAGAGTTTATGTTCTGATTCTAGAACGTGCCGCAGTTGAATCACCGTAAAGAAGCTGGGACCTCTTCTGTAGGTTCTACAAGGGTAAGTTCCCATCAGCCTCACTCCAGTTCATGGTTCAACCAGTTTAGAAGATATGCTTCATGAGGGGAATTATACCGAGTGCGAGTGCGAGTGTAAGTCTGCTTCATGAATTAGTCACTTGACTTGATAATAACCATAGGATCCCGGTATTGTCCACCGGCAGTTGAAGCTCTTTCATCAGTTATCTGAGCTAGACGTGAATATCCATGCAGTATCGAGTATTGGTTCCCGAATAGATTTGGTATCTCGAGTATCAAAGCTCTTGATGAAACCCTCGCCTCCACGATTCTGACCAAGTATTCCGTTCTTCCGACCGAATGCGAAATCTCCAAAGTCAAGAATTCGTATCTCGCAGCGGGGTTATAGCCGAAAAAAGGTAGTTGATCACAAACAATTGACTATCTCAACAAGACAATCGCTTCGAACTGCAACCGCTCATGTACAATTACGGCGTGGACAGGGATTCTTCGGCCCACGATCCGTTTCAGTGGAGAGGAGGACGCGTTGGAAGTGTTCAAGAGCTATAAATTTAGGGGCTAGACACTAACGGCAAGGGTTCCCGCGGAGCCCGGGTCCCCGCCAAGCATGTGACGGGTGCTGAGATGGCGCTA